TTGGTGTATTTAGAAGTTACATGATCATTTTCTGAAGTTAAAGGCGACTCTGGCTCATATATAATACTATTGCCATCTGACGATGATAAACTATGGTGAGTGATAGATGGCATATCAATGTTAAGTTTTGGACGGTCACTTTTACAAGGAGTTGATGATGATGGAATATTTTTGCTAGCACCTGCTATATTGTTGCGTAAACCCCTGAGGGTTTACGCAGTATATATTGGACGATGTCCGTAGTCTTTCGGAACACCGGATGTTATTCGGAATACATCTGTTTCTTTCTATGGCCACCTTTCATATACATGCGCAATAGCTTATTATTTGACCTGTTGAATCATTAGCATCTTAAAGTTGCTATAGAGATATGTTACATATCATGCGAAATTTATTATGACGCAAGCTACTTTAATAAGCATTTGAATACTTCCTTGCACGCAATTACAAGCTGCTAATATTTACCTTACATATACGCGTAGTTATTCTAATCAGAGTCAAACGTTGAAAGCAGCTGTGTTTAGATATGAGATAAGATTTCACGTACATGTAAACAATGCGATTTATATTCGAAACGAGATTTGTTAAAACTAAAATCTATAAAAGAAGTATTACTACAATGTAGCATTTCACTTAAGATTCCGAGTCTAGGGAAAATGTACATAATGTACGAAGCAGGCTATTTCATAATTTTCATACCTCAACGTCCTTGTGGGACTAACTAAAGGACAACACTGAAATTAGAATGAAGTCTTTCTTGCACTTTATTGAAATTTTACGTCTAGGATAGACCAAGGACGTATATAATCTAAATTGATATACGTCCTTGAATAGTTTTTATTTTCTTTAAAATTGCAATTTTCTTTGTTTAAATATTGCAACGTTATTTCCTTATCAAATGTCTATTAATTAATAGACACCGAGTGATGACAGATGCAGGCAGAGATCAGAAAAAATAATTTCTATTTATAGTTATCTTGGTCAGGGAACAGATTATCTAACTATATGTTCGGCCTGTAGTAATTAATGCTCTTCAAAATGTTCGTCAAAATAAAAATAAATAATTATTATTTCATAAAGACGATTAGAGGATGAATTTTCGGTTTTAATATATTAAGTACGAAAATGTAATATAGTATAAGAAGATTTTGAGCCATCTCACTGATCAGTAGGCTACACAGTGCCCCCAAATGACCAGTATAAAACTATCCAGCAAGAGAGAAAAGGGATAGCCGGGTCAATGTAAGAAACCTACTAGGCAACTTCAGTTCAATTTCAATATCTCGATTATTCTAATGGATTTGTCAAATGTCAGGGAATATCTTTTTAAGTGTGGTAGGAAGACAACTCTCCATCAAAACACAGTGTAGTCAAAATTAGCAATTATAGGTTATAATTCAGCCTTCAACACAAAAGCTTGGCTCACATTGGACAGCATCCTACCGAGGGCCCCAAAACACTGTTATAAAACAATTTAAACAGGAAAAAACAAACAGATCTAATTTAACTTCAAACCAGAAACAAAAAGCAAATATGAACTGCACCAAAAAAAGACAACCACTAAACAACATGCTTCGGACTTGGGACATGTGATTATGAATACACCTGGTTTAAAAGAATGTACATACATACCATAAGACAGTAGTGTAATTTTACCATGTAAAAGACACCCTTTAATATTTAATGAAAAAATCGTGTTCAGATAAAAAAATCGTAAGGGTTCCGCGGAACCCAGTGTCTCGCCTACTTTTGCTGTAAATCGCAGGCTCAACAAAAATGAGGAAAAACATCAATAAAAATATTCCTCTCAATACTGTTTTTTTTCTATTTTAAGAAGCTTCTGTCCAAGTTTGGTAAAAATCCAGGATAGTTTATAAATCTTAAAAATTTAACTGCAGACTGTATTTAATGTTAACTGGAAGAAAAACTAAGTCCATTTATAAGTAAAATACAGATAAACAGGTACAAAATTTTAACAAAAAATTTCCTTCTAGATACTAGCTTTTAATCATAAACAAGCTTCTGTCCAAGTTTGGTACAAATCCAGGATAGTATAAGAAAGTTATTAAAATTTTAAAAAAAACTTTAACCTCGGAGTGAATGTATTGTATCCCAGCAGAAAACTATGTCCATTTATAAGTAAAATACGGAAAAATGGAATTTCATTTTTACAAAATTTACTTCTGGATACTATCTTATGATCATAAACAAGCTTCTGTCCAAGTTTGGTACAAATCCAGGATAGTTTAAGAAAGTTATTAGAATTTTAAAACTTGAACCACAGAGTGAATGTATTGTTTCCCAGCAGAAAAAGTACGAGCTAAGGTACGAGTTGACATGGATCAACAGCGACCTTGTGCGGAATATTGTGGAACTATTTCATGCTTGATTTGTAAAACTTCTTGATATGTGAAACTTCTTGATTTGTAACCTGTTGATTTTTAACTTGTAGTTTTTCTTAAGAAACGAAACTTCTCATTGGCTGGCAGTGGTAACAATTACACTGACACATTCTCCCAAAACGTGACTCGAACAAAGAAATTACATTTCACTATTTAAGAAATGTAGAGTTTCATGTAACGAACGAAGAAAATACGTTAACAAATTAAGAAATTGCATTTATACGTTAAGAAATTACATTTCACAAATCAAGAAATGTAGAAATTCATGTAACGGATGTAAAAAATACATGTTACAAATTAAGAAATTACATTTTACAAATAAAGAAATTGCATGTTACAAACTAAGAAATTGCATTTAACAAATTAAGAAATGTATAATTATGGCGGATATTCCCTTCCTTACTTCTAAACCATTTTATAAAATTCTAATGCAATTATTTTGTATCAATGGTTCTGATTGGATGACAATAAGCGTAAAATTCTTCTATATCTCCCTGTCTGTAGACTGGTACCCGGCCTTTATTGACAAGCTTGATTTGTATATTCCGAAGGCATACTGAATATTTTACGGAGGGAACCAACCTACAGGAAACCGACATTTTTAATACAAGAATGTATTGACATGTGATTTCTCCAATAATAAGCAAAAAAACTCACATTTTGCTCCTAGAAATCTTTTTTTTTATCAAATTTTATTACATTCTGAAGCAAGCAAGAAGCCAGAAAACGCCGGGTATTTACGTTTGATGCCGGAAACATAACCATGACGTCAACTAGTTTAGGCGCCAAAGAAGATAACATCATTTTGCGGAATTTTCCTTTAATGAAAATTTTACATGGAAATAATGACTAAAATTGAAAGATTTTTTTATTTAACATTAGATGAAGATAACAGTATTGCATTTGAAGCTTTGCGGACGTCCATCGATAGTTTTACTTTCGCAAATATTCGTTTACCTGTCTCCACAACAGCTAAATTACATGACTTTTTATTTACCCCGAGAATGTATTCGTAGAACTTTAAACTTAAGTTCTCGCAATCAAACTTACTAAATTTTTTCTCAATTTCAAAGAGGAAAATGTCTGTTTGACATTTCGAAAAATTAAAAGTACAAGTTCCCCTGTCTATGAACAAAGTGCAGTAGTCAGCCGAGAACCAGCTTACTAATTTCTAAGCCATATGTTAAAATCGGCTTTATTGTGTGGTCAAAGATATGTAAACAACTATCAATTTTCGGGATGTTTTTACCGAAAGTACTTTTTAACTTGAAGAAAGCTTTTAACCCCCTTTGATACAAATCATATCGAGTCGTAGAAAAACTTCCAGACGCAGAAACAATAACACCTAAATATTTATATTTTCTAACATTTTCAATTGGTTCACCATCAAAATAAAACGGTATTCTACCAAAAAAAAAAGCATGGCACTCTAAGGGTTAATCATTTTACCACCTTTGTTAAAAATAACAATTTTTATTTTCTAAATATTAACCTGAATACACCAACTTTTACAATATTCTTCTAATTTATTTAAACATCTACTCGATCCTAATTGACTAGTAGAAAGAAGCACAACATCATCGGCATACATTAAACAATTAAGTTTTGTACTTCCTGTTTCAGCTGGTACACATGATATGCCTTTGTTCTACGAAAACGTCAAATGAATAGTTGAAGGATAAAGTTTAAACTAGTCACATGCTTCGTTAAACAGGTATCCCCTATCCGATTCTGACGATGTAAAGAGAGAGAACCCCAATAAAGGATCATGATCAGCCCTAAATTGTAACTACATTATTAGGAATCAGTATCATAAAACTTTACTTGTCAGCAAAACGTAAAATAATATGAGGTAGGCATTACCTGTGAAAGGGGACGAAGTCTATATAAATTATTTGTTTTAATTAAAACATATTTAAGTTTTAAATCTGTTAAAAAAGAAACGGAAATACCGTAACGTTTCCGATTTTGGTTCTGTTGTTGGGGATTTTAGTTGTGACGTTATTTTAGTTATGACGTCATATTCAATGTAAATAAAGAAACGCTTTCATCAGGTAACGTTTTTTCATATCAAAGAATAATTAGAAATGAAATTGTTATTGTGTTCCTTCCTATATTTTACTGGACTGATAAATATATATTTCACTCAAAGTCTCATGACACACGAGACCGAAAGAAAGAAGTAGATTTCTGCGCAAATGCGGGAATTAAAAAAAGTTACAAAAAAAAAAAGTTAACGATTTTGAGTTTATTAGTACAGTGAAAATTTCGGGAAATTTTCCCGATTTTTTTAATTTTTTTTTTTATTGATTTTTCTACTGTAATAGGGGACTTCGTCCCCTTATAATGAAAATAGGAAGAATTTGACCTTACCTGACTTCACATTTGTTTTTTCCACAGCTTCGGGAGTACCTATATCCGGTGGTGATGATGTTATGAAATCGTAATAACTGTAAAAAATAGTGCATAGAGGACTTAGTTTAGTATACATGCATTGGTTCAATAATTTTCATAACATCATAATTTCAAGAAACTTAATGTTTCATATGACTTTGAATAATTTACCGTGCAATCCTTGATCTAATCTTTACTTTATAGCTGGCGTCGGTTTCGGCCATAATTTAACTTTCCACATTGTTGATGACAGTGTCACGTGGTACACAGCGAAGGAGGCATGTCAGAACGAGATACCCGGGAGTGATTTTTCTATGTGTGGATACGATTGTTCTGTATACACAGCCATAAAACTTGGTAGTATGAATAGGTAAGTGCAATATGTGGTGGTTTCTAGTAAAATATAAATCTCGAAACATTATTAGGACAACACTTAATCAAACCCTTAAATACAATGTCCAACAACAATCTGAAAAAGCGATATCTCATGAAGATCATACTTGGGAACAACAAATTCCCTAATCAAAGGTCCAGAGCGAAATCAGATCAGTGACAAACTGAGACTTTTTAATGCGATTCTTGAAATAATTGATTTGTGTTCCTCCTTCTCTGTTTACAAATTGTCGACACAGTTTTTATGTCATACCTCAATTGTCGTATAACCCACCATTTGACGTATAGTGAGATAGACCAATTGAGGTATAATGCAATTTTAATAACACATTTTTAGAGAGATATTGGAGCATCGTTTTGCATATACCATACAAAGCTTTGATGTCCACTTAGTGATGACATGTAATCGTTTCTGACACTTTGTTCTGCATTTTGTAAGAGAAACCCAAACACTAATTTGACCCTCATTTTCCCATTTATGAAATCTGAGTTTTCATCTCTTTTATCTTATTCTTGTTCTGTAGTCTATACTGTCAACTTTGACAATCGAATCTTAAAATTGTTACTGAAGCAGCCTTAAGAAAACAGCCATGAATATCCATCAATAAGTGGAGCATACCTCAATTAAGGTATAATCCACCTTTTCACAAAATGCAGCACAGGACGTCAGAAACAATTACATGTCACCAATGAGTACTCCTCAAAGCTTAATATGGTATACAGTATTCAAAAAAATGCTCGATTATCTCTTAAAAAACAATTTGTGATAAAAACTGCTGCATTATACCTCAATCTGTCTATCTCACTTTATGTCAAATGTTGGATTATACTTCAATTGAGGTATAATCCACCATTCTAATATGACGTGCTTCTTTCGCTTTGTGAATAAACCCATGCTCTAAATGCAATAAAATTTGTATGCACATGCGTATATTGACTACTGCAGAATAATGAATTTTATTAAATTGGCATGCATTTAATATATTTCATTAACTTAATGTTGTTACTAATTCATTTATTATGACTGTAATGTGTTGCAATTCGAAATTGACATATTTGACCTAGATACGATAACCGTTCATGCTGGCTGCTCAAACCTCCTCCCTCTGAAAATCACATTGCAAGTCGTTTGCATGTTTACAAACAAAAAAAGGGAGGTTCATGGAAGAACCTACACAAACGCTCTACACTTATACACATCGGACATAGAAATTACCTTAATTGTCCTAATCAGAATCGAAATAATTGATGCAAGCTATACTTTATTGTAGTTTTAACATAGGTAGGCATTATGTTTGTGTTATTTTAGCCCTCAGTATCGCTCGGGCAAAAATAATCACGAATATAATGCCTACCCATGTTAAAACTTCAATAAAGTATAGCTTGCATCAATTATTTCTTAAATTAATGGTTATTCTTGACCTGTTTAATGCTCGAAGGTCACGGTCGTTGAAGTACCCGGTTTTATTTACACTAAAATCGGAACTCAACGTTTATAACAACAAACCTGAAACAATTCTAATACTTTAAGATAACATGCAACTACCCTCAATTGATTATATTCTGAAAACATGTTTGAAATATGTTGATTACTAGAGATATGCTTATCAAAGACTGTTAGTTAAAACGTTTATATGAATCTATGGTTATTTTATGTAGGTTTTTATAAAATTGCTGTTTTATATGGTAACGGATTTTATAAAGATATGACATATAAAGGTAGTTTATGTCAGGGATTTGTATAGTCAGCACTGTACAGATCCTTGGCTAGCTGATAATTTAATATGATGAATAAGACTTGTAAAGGTTAAATAAGATTATTGGTGTATTATAGGCTAACCCATGATTTAATATAGACTTTTAAAAAAGGTTATATTAAATTGTTGGTGTTTTATAGGCTAACAGATAAACTTGTCTGGATAGGTCGTATAAAGGCCAGAGACGACAAAGTATATAAAGCCGATAGTTGTAAAGAAGACTACTCACTGACATCTGTTATTGGTAGTAAAGCAGGAATAGATGGTCAGACGAAATGTGTTGTACTTAACACATCATCTCCGACGTATTCCTCTGGAGTGTATGGAATCGAGGATTGTCACAACAAACATCCTTACTTATGTTATGAGAGAGAACCAGGTATACTGTTATTCTTACTCTTTCGTGTGTTCATTTCCTTCGATAAATTAAAATTTAATGAATTACTATTAAGTTAAGGTGCACGTCGTTGTAGTCGTCGTAAACGTTCAACCTATACCAATCTTATATTAGTCTTTAGGAACAATGTTTTGTTAAATCTTCTTATTTTAAGAATGCCTTAAGGTAGAATGGAGGTAGTTTTTATGTCGTTACTGAAACATTATGGTTAAACATGTAATTTAAGTCGCTGCTTGTTTTCAAGCTTCAGGTTGTGTGATACATTCTGTAAGGAGTAAACAGCTGGAAGGTATCATTATGTAAATAGGAAGAACATTAAATGACAGAATGTTTAAATAAAATATGAGAAGATAACTCTTATAAATACTTGAGGAAAATTAAAACAAACAAGAGACTCCAAAGAGCTTGAAGGTGGTGCTCATCTAGGTCTATGTGCATCGTCAACAATGGGACATCTCCAACATTATTGACTATAAAATAATAATAGACTAAAATATACTTTTTGTTGATCTTGTATTGCAGATACATGCAATTTTTTCTTTAACAGTTTCTCTCGGTCTTTTTGTCGAGCCTGTGAAATTTATTTCGCGAAAGCGACATAGCGGTCCTAGATTCTGTCGTCGGCGTTGGCGTCGGCGGCGTCAACATTTTGGTTCAGTCTGTGGTTAAAGTTATTTTAGACATCAATAACTTTGTCAAATCTTCGTGGAATTTTATGAAATTTGGACAGAAGCTTGTTTATGAACAAAATACAGTATGTAGAGCAAATCTTTGAAAATATTTATTTTCATTTTTCCATATTTTACTGATAAATGGACTTAGTTTTTTTTTACAGTTAACATTCAGATTCAGTCTGAGGTTAAAGTTTTTCAGTCATCAATAACTTTGTCAAACCTTCGTGGAATTTTTTGAAATTTGGACAGAAGCTTGTTTATGACCAAAATACAGTATTAAGAGCAAAAATTTGAAAATATTTGTTTTCATTTTTTCATATTTTACTGATAAATGGATTTAGTTTTTTTTTTCAATACAGTTAACATTCAGATTCAGTCTGAGTTAAAGTTTTTCTGTCATCAATAAATTTGTCAAACCTTCGTGGAATTTTATGAAATTTGGACAGAAGCTTGATAATGTCCAAAATACAGTATCCAGAGCAAAATTTTGAAAATATTTATTTTCATTTTTCCATATTTTAATGATAAATGAACGTAGTTTATTTCAAATATAACAAGTAGATATAGTCTCGGGGTAAAGTATGTTACACATTAAATACTTTGTCAAACCTTCGTAGAATTTTATGAAACTTTAGCAGAAGCTTTTTTATGATAAAGAGATAATGTCTGATGCAAAGTTTTGAGAATATATTTTCATTTTCAGTATTTTTCTGATAGATGGACTAATTATTTTTTTACAGTTAACATTTACAGACAGTCTGGGATTAAATTTTTTTTGACATGATAAGTTTGTAAACCTTCATGGATTGTATGAAACTTTGACAGAAACTAATCTCCAAGACCAAGAAATAGCGTCTAAGGAAAAAGTTTGATTTGTTTTTTAAATATTGTATTTTACTGATAAATGGACTCACTTTTAACACATTACACTTTTACACTGACAGTAGCAATCGTAGGCGAGACACAGGGTTCCGCGGAACCCCTTACGAATTTTATAGAATAAACTATGCCAAAAACTAAAAAAAAAATAAAAAAATGGGTAAACAATTTGTCATTTCAGTGCAATAACTCCTGTAAGAAAACAATGGACAATTTCATCTATACATACCTATTTGCTGATCATTTTGGTTTTTAAAGTATCTCTCTATCTATTTTTATAGTTTTACAATGATAAACAATAACACAAAAAAAAATGATAAAATTGGAATTCAAGGGCAATAATGACAATGTTTGACTTATTTGTAGATCTTGTCTATATACCTGATCATTTCAGCTTTTTCAATTTTCTTTTTATCTGTTATAATTTTCAAAATGATAGGCAAAAAAGAAAAAAAAACGAAAAAAAGTCATTAAAGGATTATAAGTTCCATAATGAGTCGACTGACGATTTCGGTCATGTTAACTTATTTGCAGATCTTGTCTTGTTGGTCATTTTTGCTATTTTATGTGTCCGTCTATCTATTATAATGTTCAAGATAATGGGCAAAAATTTAAAAAAATTAGTAAAATTCGTTATTAATGGAAAATAACTCCTATAAGAAGTCGTCTGACTGGTTTGACGTTAATAGACAGTAAAAAGATCTTAAAAATTATCAACAGTTTTGGTCCGTCGGGTTTTCTCTACAGTGGTTTTTAAGATAATAGACAAAACTTACTTGCATTTTATCCCCATGTTCATTTCTTATCCATGTCGGCTATGTGGGTTGGTAGGCGGGTTCATCGTACATATTTCTTTAACCTAAATATTTCAATGATAATTTTGGACAAGTTTTGTTAAAATTGAACAATTATATTTAAGTTTGGCTCAGTTGATTTAGAGGAGATGATGTTTGTAGAAGTTAACAACAGCAACAACAATACTTTATTTTGAAACAACAAGAATACTTTATTTTGAAACTCTCAGACACATATATTATGTATCTGTAACAGGAGGCAAAACACATAATCATATGTATGGTTGTTACAGAACAATGTTAACATTATCATATAATTGAAATTATAATTACAACATGTTAACTAGTTTGTTAATGAAAAGTGATAAGTTCTTCATAACTTTAATGTTGCAAAATGAGAGCAGCCCTTTTATTTTTTCGACACATTGATACCTGTGGTAATATTTTGAAATATTCTTATTTCTTATATT